ATTACCCTGATATCAAACCCAGACAAAGGCATCACAAGACAAATGACAGGCCAATATCCTGATGAGTATACGTGGGGAAAGTCCTCAACAAAATGCCAACCAGAACGAATTCAGTATAGTTTGAGGACTCTATACACACAGCCAAGCAGGATTTATTCCTGGAATGCAACGATAGTTCAACATATGAAAATCAATGCTTCACATATGAAATGTTCAACATACAAAAATCAGTCGATATTAGCAGAGTGGAGGAAGGAAACCACATGACCGTCTCAAGTGTTGCAGGAAAAGTATTCGGCCAAATACAACACTTTTTGTCTTTTTTTTTTTTTTGAGATAGGGTCTCGCTCTGTAGCCCAGGCATCTCGGCTCACTGCATGCTCCGCCTCCTGGGTTCATGCCATTGTTTTGCCCCAGCCTCTGGGACTACAGCCAGCTGGGACTACAGCTTTTGCCCCAGCCTCTGGGACTACAGCCAGCTGGACTACAGGCGCCGCCACCATGCCCAGCTAATTTTTATATTTTGGTAGAAACAGAGTTCACCGTGTTAGCCAGGATGGTATCGATCTCTGACCCTCATGATCCACCTGCCTTGGCCTCACAGCGTGCTGGGGTTACAGGTGTGAGCCACCGTGCCTGGCCACTTTTTTTGTTTTTGGAGACAATGTTGCTCTTCTTGCCCAGGCTGGAGTGCAAATGGCGCGATCTCGGCTCAGTGCAACCTCTGCCTGCCCCATTCACGTGATTCTCCTGTCTCAGCTTCCCGAGTAGCTGCGATTACGGGCATGCACCGCCATGCCCAACTAAGTTTGTATTTGCAGTAGAGATGGGGTTTCTCCACGTTGGTCAGGCTGGACTCGAACTGCCGACCTCAGGTGATCCACCACGCCTCACACTTTTATGATAAAAACACTCGGGAAACCAGAATTGAAGAGATCGCCTAAACACAATGAAGGCCACATACTCCACAAGCCCATAGGTGACATACTCAGTGGTGAAACAAAGCTTTCCTCTGAGGTAAGGAACCAGGCAAGTCTTTACCACTTCTATTCCACACACCACTGGAAGCTCTGGCCAGAGCAATTAGACAAGAAAAAGAAAAGTCATCCAAACTGAAAGAGGAAACGGAAAATCACCTGTTCTCAGATGACATAATCTTATATGTAGAAAATCCTAGAATCCATATTGGAAGAAAAACCCCGTGACATCAGCAAACTCTTACAGGATACAAAATCAACAGCAAAAGAACGCTGCAGTTCTCTCATCCCAACAGTAATAATGCTGAGCGGGAATTACGAGCCGTTTCCATTTACAATAGCAGCGGAAAGAATAAAATACTTGAAAATTCACTTAAACAAGAAGGTGAAAGACTTGTACAATGAAAACTGGCCAGGCACAGTGACTCACGTCAGATCCCAGCCCTTTGGGAGGCTGAGGCAGATGGATTACCTCATGTCAGGAGTTCAAGACCAGCCTGGCCAGCATGGTGAATCATCGTCTCTACTAAAAATACAAAAATTAGCCAGCCGTGGTGGCGCGTGCCTGTAATCCCAGCACTTTGGGAGGCTGAGGTGGGTGGATTGCCTGAGGTCAGAGGTTCGAGACCAGCCTGGCCAATATAGCGAAACCCCATCTCTACTAAAAGTACAAAAATTAGCCAGGCGTGGTGGCACGTGCCTGGAATCCCAGCTACTCAGGAGGCTGAGTCAGGAGAATCCTTTAACGTAGGAGGAGAACGTTGCAGTGAGCTGAGATCACAACACTGTACTCCAGCCTGGGCAACAGAGTGAGACTCCGTCACAAGAGCAAAGAGAAAACCACAGAATATTGCTGAGGAGACATCAAACAGCATGAGACTAAACACAGTCCCTGTGAAAACCCCAATTACGTTTTACAAAAATAGGAAAACCTTTCCTAAAATTCATATGGAATCTCAAAGGATCCTGAATAGTCCAGGCTGGAATTCAATGGCACCATCTCAGCTCATTGCAACCTCCACCTCCAGGGTTCAAGCAATTCTTCTGCCTCAGCCCCTGAGTAGCTGAGAATACAGGCATGCACAACACCATGCCTGTGCAATTCTTTGTATTTTTAGTAGAGGTGGGGCTCAACATGTTGGCCAGGCTGGTCTTGAACTCCTGGCCTCAAGTGATCCTCTCCTTGGCCTCCCGCATGCTGGGATTACAGGCATGAGCCACCGTGCCCGGCTCAAATCATTCTTATTTTTAAGACAGGGTCTCACTCTGTAACCCGGGCTGGAGTGCAGTGGCACAATCACAGCTCACTGCAGCCTCTGGCTCCTGGACTCAAGTGATCCTCCCACCTCAGCCTCCCAAAGCAGCTGGCATTACAGGCATGCACAATTAGGACAGCTAATATTTTTATTTTTGTAGAGATGGGGTCTCCTTGTTTCCAGGCTGGTCCTGAACTCCTGGCTTCAAATAATCTGGCTGACTTGACCTCCCCAAATGCCCAGGAACACAAGCGTCAGCCACCACCATGCCTAGCCTCTGCTTGCTTAGTTGTGGGAAACAGACATTCCCAAGTGGAAACGACTGGAACACAGACATCAGCTCACCCACAAGGATAGAGGGTTTGAGATCTGGGTCTCTTTGTCACCAGAGGCATAACCCAGCCTGTACGGACTAGCCACAGCCCCTACAGACCCTGGCGCCAACATTCAAATCAAGGTAACTGGCTCACTTCATGACCCTGTCACATGAAGCGCTGCTAGGTGGAGTGACCAGGTTGTCACAGACTCTGCAGACCCCAGAGGCAGCGATGCCTGTGCATGGCCTTAGTGCCCTTCCCACAGACCTGGTTTTCTTTTCAGCAACCCCAAAGACCAAAGCTTTCTGGATGGCCACGCCCACACTGCTCTGAGTCCTGGCTCCCCGTCCTGCAGCAGCCACGGGAGGGCTGCAGGAGGGGCCTCCAGGAGCAGCCGGCTGTGGGACAATCCAGAATCACTCCTGCCCATGGGTCTGAGCCCGTCAAGCAAGATCAAATAGCAGCCATGGTCAGGAAACACAACATCCCTCCAGCCCACCACCAAACTCAGGCGGGGCCTGTCGATGACCATTCACGCAGCGGGTGCCCATCTGCCAGGTGAGCGCCGAAAGCCCCAGCCCACCTGAGCTGGATACTAGGGAGCCGGGACGGGCTTCCTGACCTGCGACCGTCAGCCACGGACATGCCCCACCCCTTCCGAGGGCAGGAGTAGGGAGCGCTGAGTGTGTGGAGTGGCCCACCCGGGGCAGGTGCCCCGTATCACGTCTGTGCACCGAAAACCCCTCAACAGAAGCTGCTGTGTGACACTGGTGCTGGGACAGGCACAACCGGGCGCCTCCACAGCAGTTGGGCTCCCGTCTGGGTGGGTGCGCCCGAGCCTGACTCACCTGCCAGTAGTGAGCAGCTGTTCGATCTCGGCCGACATGCTCCGTCGAAGCAGCGATCTCCTCGTACTTCTGCCCATAGTGAAACACTTCCAGCTTCAGGCGCCTGGGGAAGGAGTTCCCAAGTGGGCCGGCCAGGCAGCGCTCACACCACGAGGTGGGGCTGGAGACAGGCAGCCAGGCGGGCACCCATGCCAGGTGTCCCCTTGGGAGAGGACCTCTTCCTGTGACAGCCAAACTCCACCCTCTCCATGATGCAAACCAGGTCTGGGCTGAGCAAGGAAGTGGCGACTCCCTAACGTGGGGCCTGGAGATGGCGCACCTCTTCACACCAGCCCTGCCCACACCTGCCCACTCAGCACCCACAGGGCTCATGGCCATTACAGTGGCAGTGGCAGAGCCCTGACTTCCAGCAAAAACGCTCCTGGGAGGCCACAGAAGCCAAGTCATGGTGCCAGGGCTGCGAGCAGCCGTCGGAGTGGGAGGCCAAGCGCGGGAGAGACCAAAGGGGAAACTGAGGCGGGATAGCTGGGCTAGCATGGAGCAGGCATCTGCGGAGGGGTTGGCAGAGGAACCAGGGCTCTCTTGGAAAAGAGCGGCTTTTGCTGTCACTGGAACAACCCAGGAATTTAGGCCAGGTGTACAGAAGGACCCAGAAACCCAAGACCTGGGACGCCAAGAGGTCAGAGCAGCCTCTGCTCATCTGGAGTGTTCCTGAGGCAGCCGTGCAGCCAGGGACTCTCATCACCTGGAGGGCTCTGCCCACCATTGCCTTCGCCACCCACCGCCAGCGACAGGGGCCTGAAGGCCTCGGGGGTACAAGTGCAGCCGGAGCCACGCCCCACACCATGAGGCTCCAGGGCCAGGCGTGGCAGCTGGAGGAAGGCCAGGCCAGCAGCAGCAAGGGGACCATGAGGATCCTCTCAGTCCCAACCACGGGGCTCTCATGAGGAGCGTCTCCCTGGAATCCCAACATGGGGGTCTCAGAGCAACACTCCACGTCACCTCCCCTCACTGCCAGAGCCTGAGGCTGGCTGGGCACAGTGGCTGGCATCTGTAATCCCTGCACTGTGGGAGGCCAAGGCGGGCAGATCACCTGAGGTCAGGGTTTCGAGACCAGCCTGGCCAACATGGTGAAACTGCATCTCTACAAAAATACGAAAAGCAGTTGGGTGTGGTGGCAGACACCTATAATCGCAGCTACTCAGGAGGCTGAGGCAGGCGAATCGCGTGAACCCAGGAGGCGGAGAATTTGCAGTCAGCTGAGATCGTGCCACTGCACTCTCCAGCCTGGGGACAGGCGAGACTGTCTCAAAAAAAAAAAAAAGTTGAAGGTTTATGAAGTGATGGTGGGCTCTGCCCCCCAGAGCCCGAGGAGACACCACCAGCCTGTTCTCAGGTGGGGATGAGGAAAGGGTGGTGGCACATCCCTGAGTGCAGCCTCTAGGACCCTTAGGCCCACAGGGCTCTAGCAAAACACGCGGGGGAGCAGGAGGTGGTGCCACCCCGGAGACTGGGCCTGCTGGGATCCTCTGGAGAGCAGGGCGGGGGGTGGGCCCTGAGCGGGTCCCTGGACAGGGAGTGGAGTGAGGCAGAGACACTTGCTGTTTTCCTTCTGTTGCCGGGATAAGAACATACTTGTCAAGATACATTCTTAGCAGGCGCTCCCGCTCCTCCTGCTGCGGCAGGTCAAAGTGAAGCATCACATCGATGCGGTCGTGGATATCCCAGTGTAACTGCTCCGGGTGGCTGGTCAGGACCAGCATGAATCTGCGGGCAGGGATGGGGAAAGGAAATGCTGGGGCTGCGGCCAAACACCCGAGGAACAGGCTCCTTGATCCCCAGAGGACTTTCCGTGAGAATCTAAAGCGGCAGCTTGTAGGCACAGGAAACACCGGGAGGAGACGGCACAGCCCTGGTCACCGCCTGCCCCACCACGCCCAGCTGTCCCGGCCCCGGCTACCGGAGCCTCTGTTCTCATCCGTGTGGCGCTTCCTCGCCTGACACTGCGCCCAGCGTGATAGGCAGCGCCAGGACCACCACTCCTCCTGCTGCCTGAGCCCTGCTGTGCTGGGAGCAGCGATGCGGCACCAGAGTCCATGTCAAGAGTGGCCACGCCAGCCCGGGAGCAGGACAGGGGCCCGGGTGCAGCAGAGGCTCAGCAGGGCCCCTCAGCCCTGCCTCTGGGAAGGACCTGAGCCAGGGCTCCAGGAGGCGCCTTCCGGCAGCAGCTGAGCCAGGGGAACCCAACGTGGCCTGAGGGCCGGCCCGCGGCCGCCTGCTGAGACTTCATCCTCCGTGTGACATGTGACCGGGGCTGGAGGGGCCCAGGAGACCAGAAAACTCAAACTTAGAGGGGATTTGGGAGGGCTAGGGAGCCTGGCCATGGGGCCATCCACCTGCACAGGGACGTCTGGGCGCAGCTCCACGGAGGACGCACAATGTGGGAGGGCCCCTAGCCTGGAGAGGAGCACCCCTGTCCAGCATCTGGAGTCGGGGGCCGAGGCTAACAGGCTGCTTAACTACACACAAGACCTGCTAGATACCCAGCTTCCGTGGGAGCAAGCGTGTCTCCATCTCACACCAGAACACCCTCACCCTCCAAGGGAGACCCAGCAGAGCCTCAGACCATCAGACCCCCTCCCTTGCCGGCACAGGACCGCAGAAACCCAGGGCAGAGGGACCCCTGCAAGCGCTAGGCCCCGGCACCGCCTGAGCCGTGAGGACAGGAGTGACCCGGCTCTGCCCAGGAGAACCCGCATGATCCTCAGTGACTCCCCATGCTGTCCCGAGCTGGGCCGTTTCCCCAGGGGACATCCGGGGTGGGCAACGTTTGAGGCCATGGGTGCTGCGCTGTGATCCAGGACCCCTGAGGTCCTTGGTGGGAACAAGGCGTGGCTGCAAATCCCTGCCCGGGGCCCAGGACCCCAGGGGCTCCCTCACTTGTTGCTGCGATCCTTCATGTGGTTTAGGAAGGCGTACTGGGTTGCTTTGAGGTCCTTGTTTATCTCCTCCTGCAGAGAGAAGGTTCAAGCCTTAGGCACCAGGAGCAAAGCCTTGTAAACAGCCACAGCAGAAGGAGTCCACAGGCCTCCCTCCTGCAGGAGCAGGGGCTGTGACCACACTTTCATGGATCTAAACTCAAAAAGCCTGACCAGGGCCAGGGGCGGTAGCTCATACATGCCAACGTAGTATTTTGGGAGGCCGAGGCGGGTGGATCACCTGAGGTAGGAGTTTGAGAACATCCTGGCCAACATGGTGGCTTCGTCTAAACTAAAAATACAAAAATCAGCCAGGCTTGGTGGCACAACTGTGGTCCCAGCTACGTGGGAGGCTGAAGCAGGAGAATCACTTCAACCTGAGAGGCAGAGTTTGCAGCGAGCCGAAATCGCACCGCTGCACTCCAGCATGGGCGACAGAGTGAGACTCTGTATCAAAAACAAAAACAAAAACAAAACAAAAAACCCTGACTGGGCATGGGGGCTCACGTCTGTAATCCAGAACTTGCAAGGTCAAGGTGGGAGCATCTCTGATAGCTCAAGTTTGAGCCCAGCCGAGCTCAAAAAAAAAAAGCAGCCGGGGCGATGGCTCACGCCTATAATCCCAGCACTTTGGGAGGCCGGTGGCCGGATCACAATGTCAGGAGATCGGGAGCCATCCTGGCTAACACTGTGAAACCCCGTCTCTACTAGCCAGTAAAACAAAATTAGCCGGCGTAGTGGTGGACGCCTGTAGTCCCAGCTACTTGGGAGGCTGAGGCAGGAGAATGCCATGAACCCGGGAGGCGGAACTTGCAGTGAGCTGAGATTCCACCGCTGTACTTTAGCCTGGGCGACAGAGCGCGCTCCGTCTCAAAAAAAAAAAAAAAAATTAGCCGGGACCAGGCCACAGTGGCTCAGGCCTGTAATCCCAGCAGTTTGGGGCTCAGGTGGCGGGTCACCTGAGGTCAGGAGTTAGGACTATCTGACTGACATGGAGAAATCCCTTGTCTACTAAAAAAAAATACAAAATGAGCCGGGCGTGGTGGTACATGACTGTAATCAGCTACTTGGGAGGCTGAGGCAGGAGAATTGCTTGAACCCAGGAGTGAGAGGTGCGTTGAGCCAAGATTGCACCACCGCACTCCAGCCTGGGCAACAAGAGCAAAACTCCATCTCAAAAAAAAAAAAAAAAAAATTACCGGGCATGTCACTGTGCCCCTGCAGTCTAGCTACGCAGGCAGCTGAGGCAGGAGGACAGCTTGAGCTTGAAGGTCGAGGCAAACAGTGAGCTGTGATCGCGCCACTGCACTCCAGCCTGGGTGACAGAGACCCTGTCTTAACATAAGAACTGTATGGCTGGTGGCTGGTGGATCACGCGCATGTAGTAACATTTAGGGAACCAGGCGGGGAGGTCATTTGAGGTCAGAGTCCTCCGCACCAGCCTGACAAAATGGTGAAACCCCATCTGTACTAAAAATACAAAAAATGCCTGTAATCCCAGCTACTCAGAGGGCTGAGGCAGGAGACTAGCTTGAACCCAGGTGGTGGAGGTTGTAGTGAGCCAAGACCGTGCCACTGCAGGCCAGCTAAAGGGATAGAGTGTGACTTTATCTCAAATAAATAAGAATAAATAGACCGGTGCAGTGGCTCACGCCTGTAATTCCAGCACTTTGGGAGGCTGAGGCAGGTGCATCACGAGGTCAAGAGATCTAGACCATCATGGCCAACATGGTGAAACCCCATCTCTAAGTAAAAATACAAAAGTAACCGGGTATGGTGGCAGGTGCCTATAATCCCAGCTACTTGGGAGGATGAAGCAAGAGAATAGCGTGGAAGCGGAGGTTACAAGTGAGATGAGGTGGGTGCCGCTGAACTCCTCCGACAACATCGAAAACAAAACAAAACAAAACAACCCTCAAAAGCCAAACCTTAACTTTAAGCTGACCAAAAAAACAAAGGCTGGTTTTCCTCCAAAATTTAGAGAAAAGAAATTGAGCAGGGCTGCGGCCTGTAGATCCCAGGATGACGGACGCACCCGCCCCACCACCTCCTGTGGCCAGACAGAGCTAGTGGCCTCACGGTGGCGCAGCTTCCCGGGGAAAGCGTCCACTTCATCCACGAAGAGCAGGAGGCAGGCCGAGGAGGGAGGCCCAGCGGGGTGACACCTGGAGCGGCCCACAGCAGCGTCGGCTGGCTGGTGGGAGCAGGCCGGGCAGATCCCGAGGAGTGCAGCCTCTGCCCCATCGGGAGCCCTAAGTCCTGGATCTGACAGAAGCCCATCGCCTGTAGCCTCTGGGCAGCTGACCACGACCCAACCTCACAAGGCCCGGGAATCCAAAGGCACGGGGGCACCAGACCCTCTGCCCACAGGCTTCACCCCACACAGCCCAGTGCAGGCGCCTGGGCTGCTCAGAGTCCACACCAGGGCAAGATCTTCTAAAGTGAAGAAAGGTCAAAGGGCCAGAGGGGAGGGTGCTAGCCATGAGGAACATGGTGCCAACGGGACAGGTAGTCGCAGGGTGCCCAGGCTGTGCCCTGCGCAGAATCACTGTGGGACCTATTAAAGGGTGTGTGCCATGCTGTCTTGGCTGACTTCTAAATGGTTCTGCAAAGGAGCCAGTGTCCACGCCCACCTGCACGTGTGTCGGAGGGAGGCGACCGTGGGTGGCGCCCCTGCAGCTGTGAAGACCCCTCTGCCCCTACACCCACCCACCTCCCTTCTGCCCTGAGCCAAGTATCCCACTAGCAGCCTCCACACGCTGGGGGCCTACGTAGCCACTGGGAATCCCACACTCCAGAGACCTTCCCTCCGAGGACCCTCGCCCCGGCCTCCTGCGTGGCCACAAGGACAGAGCTGCAGAAGCCGAGGTCGGAAAGCCACCTGGACCCCCTTCCCGAAGGCAGCCTGCTGGAGCCGCAGTGAAGGGAGCCTGTGTGCATGCTGTGGGGCGGCGTCTCACCGCGCCCGGCTGGTATTGGCCCAGTCAAACAGCTTGTGCATGGCCAGTCCTTCCCGCCCCGCTGGGGGGGGCACGTCCCCCGACTCTCATGATTAAGTAGTCATGCCCAAGTTCAGGGCGAGATTCTAGACGGGAAGAGTGAGGGGAGACAGAACAGATGTTCCCTCTGCCTCTGCCATCTGCACACCTCCACCCAGAGTGTGGAGCCTGTCAGGGCGTCCTGCCTGGAAGCCACAGCCTGCCAAACAGGAGCGTCCCCTGCCTGGAAGATGGGGGCGCTCTTACCCACACCAGCACGCTGACCCACCACCATGAGGGTGACCAAAGGACTAAGTCCATTCCCCAGGCAACTGAGCCCCCAGAACACCTGCAGGCAGGTGGACCCCATTGGCCCTGGCCCACCTGCGCAGCCAGGTGCTCTCTCACCTTAACCTTGGCGTTTTCCCGGTGCCTGGCGGCCCGAACATCAGGACATTCCTATACAGGCCCTGGTTCTTCTTCGTGTTCCTTGTGCTATGGCCATGTCACACCTGCATTTCCAGGCTGGGCTGCCGGGAAGGCGGGGCTTGGGGGACACTCTGCGCCCAGGGGAAGCCTCGGGGGCAGGGGGCTGCGGCAATGCCCTGTTGTGGACTCCACTCCTCGGGGGTGCCTTGGAGTCACGGACAGCCTATCCCCAACAGGGTCAAAGCAGTCGCATCTCAGAGCCGAAAGCTCTGGCTCCTCAGTGTCAGCAAGGGCCACAGCACGGCCCAACTCAGGACCCCTTCCTGCACCTCCCCGGTCCCAGGCACACGGACTTACATGCAGCACAACACCCTCCAGCACGTCCTGGGGCCGACTGAGGAGCTGCCGGCGGACCTGTCAGAGCGGAAGGGGAAGCGCCGATGAGTCCACGATGCCACAGCCACGTTGCAACAATATGCCTGGTGCGCTCAAGTAACACACCTAGCGGGCTGCCCAAAGCACAGCCAAGGACTGGCCAGGACCTGAACCCTATCCCACTAGGAGACTGAGTGACTATTGCTGGGATTAGGGTCACCTCCCAGTTCCTTATTGGCTTTTATTTCATTACCCACCGAGTGACCTGTGGAGACCCCACCACCCCCGTGTGGAGAGCAGGCACCTCGGGGGCTGCAACTCATTTGTGCGGTTCCCAGGAGGCAGCCAGACACCATAGCCTGTGGCAGCTTCCCCTGACACACCAAGCACACCCCAAGTCCTGGACACAAGGACCTGTTGCTCCATGCCCCATCAAGAGCCCCGAGCAGGGACCGAGGCAGACGGGAAGGGTCTCACTGATGCAGACCCTAAGCTGGCGAAAACCCAGGCATGAGCGGCGCCGAGTGCCCCTCGTGCGGGGAAAGGGAAGGAACAGGAGGGTGTGCATGGGCGGGTTTCCTCATGGAGCAGGAGGACTCAGCCTGAAACCGCCCACTCAGGAGGATGAGCCGCGCCGCTACCTGGAAGGGGTGCTGCAGCGCCTCCAGCACCGTGATGCGGAGACGTCTCGCTCACCAGGGGCGGCATCCACAGGCGAGCCTCGATAAAGCGGACTGCACCGCGGCTGTCCGATTCTTGGCAAGTGAGCCCCGCCAGCCAGCAGCGTCAGCCCCGAGCACCTGCAGCAGAGACACGCACTGGCCTGCCTGCCCCACCCTCCTATCCCTCCTGAGAGGGACCTGCACAGGAGCTGCCCCACCCTCTCTCCGCCAAAGGAAGCCACAGGGCTGTGTGCTGGCACAGGAACCCCGAATTCCCGGCCCCGAATCCCACAGCCACGCGGTTACAGGAGGCAGGTGGGCCCGTCACAGCGCCCTCACTCAGGGCCATTTTCTCTGCAACTGGCAGCATAAATCCTACAAAGCCCCAGTCCCTGAGCAGGGCCCTGGACAGACCCAGCCGGCTATGTCACAGGGCCACACCCTCTGCTACTTTCTTGCTTTAAATGTACTTTATTCTTGGAAAACAAGGCTGACCCGAAATCTCTGACTCGTTTTAAAAATCAGTTACAGCCGGGCGCGGTGGCTCAAGCCTGTAATCCCAGCACTTTGGGAGGCCGAGGCGGGCGGACCACGAGGTCAGCAGATCGAGACCATCCTGGCGAACATGGTGAAACCCCGTCTCTACTAAAAATACAAAAAACTAGCCGGGCGAGTGGCGGCGCCTGTAGTCCCAGCTACTCGGGAGGCTGAGGCAGGAGAATGGCGTGAACCCGGGAGGCGGAGCTTGCAGTGAGCTGAGATCCGGCCACTGCACTCCAGCCGGGCGACAGAGCGAGACTCCGTCTCAAAAAAAAAAAAAAAAAAAAAAAAAAAAAAATCAGTTACGCCGGCTGGGCGTGGTAGCTCAGGCCTGCAATCCCAGCAATTTGGGAGGTCGAGGCAGGCGGATCACCTGAGGTTAGGAGTTGGAGACCAGCCTAACCTCCAGCGATTTAAGAATCCACCCACATGGAGAAACCCCATTTCTACTAAAAATGCAAAAAGTTAGCTGGGCATGATGGCACATGACTGTAATCTCAGCTACTCGGGAGGCTGAGGCAGAGGTGGCGAACCCGGGAGGCAGAGGTTGCAGTGAGCTCAGACCGCGTCATCGCACTCAAGCCTGAGCCACAAGAGCAAAACTCCATCTCAAAAAAAAAAAAAAGAAAGAAAGAAGAAAAATCGTTTATGCCAGGCCCGGTGGCCCCATCCCTGTAATCCCAGCATTTGGAGACCAAGATGGGCAGATCACTTGAGGAGTCAGGAGTTAGAGCGGCCAGCTGGCCAAGGAGGGTGAAACCCATCTTCACCAAAACAGAAAAATTACCCGGGCGTGGTGACCTGCACCTAATCCTGGCAACAGGAGGCTGAGGCAGGAGGATGAAGTGAACCGGGGGGAGGTGGAGCTTGCAGCCACCGCCTCAGCCTAGGGACACAGTGAGACACTGTCTCTAAATACAAACAGAAGTCAACGGTGCATTAAGCAGCTCCTCGTGTCCTCATAGGACACCGTCTCCACCAACACGGCGGCAACACCACCTCGACATTCACTGTCACTGGCGCGCCACGGGCAGGCGCTGCAGTCTGCAGCTCAGGGCGCCGGCACGCGGCAGAGCAGGGTACCCACTTCGTGCCAGAGCACCTACTGGCCAATGCTGGAGGCAGCGAGACGGAGGACACAGTCGTGTGCGATGTGGTGTGCCACCACACTAGGCTGGCGCCTGCGCACAAAGTGAGGCTGTAAGCGAGAGAGAGGAATCTGTGAACTTGAACTCTCAGGGTTTCTGAGGGCAAGGTTTTGCAAAGTGGAGTCAAGTCACCTTCTGTTTTCTTTTTTTTTTTTTTTTTTGAGAAGGAGCCTCGCTCTGTCCCAAGGTGGGAGTGCAGTGGCAGGATCTCGGCTCACTGCAACCTCCGCCTCCTGGGTTCAAGTGGTTCTCCTGCCTCAGCCTCCTGAAGCTGGGACTACATGACCGTGCCACATGTAGAGATGGGGTCTGACTGTGTGGCCGAGGCTGGCAACTGTGTTTTCTTCTCCCAGCTCGAGGAGCAGCCCAGAAGCCAGATTTGGCTTGTTCCGTGCTGGGGAGAGCTCCAGAGGCCTGTGCAGGAGCGAGCAGGGACATGACCGAGGACAGGACCCGGGGTTCAGGAAGGCCCCCACAAGCTGCCCCACAGCCACCTGCCAGCCCTACCGGGACACGCGTGTTGCAGTGGCTGTCACTGAGTCGCTCTGTCACAAAAACACGGAATCTTTCCCCAAACATAGTGACAGGCGTCCTGCGGGGAAAGCAGTGAGTGTGACCAGGACGGACACGAAGATCCGAGCCACTGGCAACAGCAGATTGAGGTGAGGCCTGACACGGCAGGCCCGATCCTGCCAGGACAGAGGGCAGTGCCCCCACCAAGAGCCAGCCTGGGCAGCCCGGGCTGGGACACCTGGAGAGCGCCTGGGACCAGTGACTCATACCTGCAGGGCCCGTCTGCGGCTGGCCTAGAGCAGCCCTCACCTGATGGACCCCAAGAAGGTCTGATGAATTGCTTCTGCACGGACTCCTCCTGCTTCCGTAAGTTCTCCTCATTTACAAATTGCTGAGCCACAGAAAAGAGAAAAAGCCTTTAAAACCAAAAAATGCTCAACACCGATGCAGAGTTGTATCTGCCCCAGGATGGAGGGCTCCAAAGCGTCTCGGAGCACCTGGGGCCCTGCAGATGCCACAGCCTGACACAGACACAGGTGACTTCGGCTGGGGCGGCAGTCGCTGAGGGGAGCTGCTTTCCAGGAGCCCAAACTCCCAGCGGCAGGAAAACAGCCCCCACTGCGGCTTCCCTGAGAAGGGCCACTGCGCGGCAGACCTCCCAACACCACCGCCCTGATTCACGCTGTGCCTGAAGGGAAGCCTCTCTCTGTCTTCTGCCAAGAAAACGTTAGAGCTACAATGGCCACAACAGGCAACGCCTGAACCCGCCTGCAGGCTCAGGACTGAGAGGCTGACGGGCCGGGCGCGGTAGCTCACACCTGTAATCTCAGCATTTTGGGAGACCGAGGCAGGTGGATCACTTTAGGTCAGGAGTTCAAGACTAGCCTGGCCAACATGTCGAAACCCCATCTGTACTAAAAATACAAAAAAGCAGCTGAGTATGGTGGCAGGTGCCTTTAATTCCAGCTACTCAGGAGGCTGAGGCAGGAGAATCGCTTGAACCCGGGAGGCGGAGGTTGCAGTGAGCTGAGATCACACTGCAGCTGCAGCCTGGGTGACGAATGAGACTCCGTTTCAAATCAACAAAATAGAAAAAATCCTGCTGACGCAAAGAAATGAGGTGAAAATGTCAAGAAGACCCAGGCCCTCCAAACGACCGGAACACCTCACCAACACTGGTCACTCCTCTCGGGTGGCACTGCAGCAGCGTCTCTCACCTCCCCTTGGAATGAGGCGCCCAAGCTCAGCCCTGGGCCCCACTGCTGCCCGTGTACACGCCCTGGCCCTACCCACCGGCAGTGGCCACCAATCTCCACGCCCGAACCCCGTTCACCCGGCCTCCCCCACACACCGGCTCCTACTCACTTTGAGCGGACTGTTGCTCCGGCTGCAGTCGCTCCTGCATCTACCAGATTCACGGCGTCCTTCGGCATGGCCTGCGGGCGCAGAGGCACGGAGGCAGGTGAGGATACCGCGGAGGACTGGGCAGGCATACCCACACCAGCCAGGGCTTTCACACAGCCACACCTGGACCTCAAAGCCCCCAGCCCTGCCTGAAGGGGTGGCCTGCCCCTCCACACACTGTGGCGTTTCTCCACGTAGGTGGAACAAAGAGACTTGAGAAAGAAATGAGACACAGAGACAAAGAATAAAGAAAAGAAAAAAGTGGGCCCAGGGAACCGGCGCTCAGCATACAGAGGACCCACGCTGGCACCGGTCTCTGAGTTCCCTCAGTATTTATTGATCATTATCTTTACCATCTTAGTAAAAGTGGCAGGATAATAGGATCATCATAGGGAGAAGGTCAGTAGTAAGACATATGAATAAAGATCTCTGTAACATAAGTTTAAGGGAAAATGCCTTGATATGCATATGCAAACATCTCTATAAATCACTTTTCCAGTGCATAAAAAGAGCAGCATTGCGCTAACTTCGTCCACCTTTCACCTAAGAGGCGGTTTTCTCCTTTCTCAGTAAACAGAACATCTCTGTTTTACACTGAGATGTTCCATTTGCCCAGGGACAGGCAGGAGACAGATGCTTTCTCTATCTCCAACTGCCAAGAGGCCTTCTTTCCTCTTATAATCCTCCCTCCAGCATAGACCCTTCATGGGTGTCCAGGCTGGGGGCGATCCGGTCTTCCCCTTCCCACACGAGGCCATGTTTCAGACAACCA